CGCATGAACACCCTTCTTGCCAACGCAGAGGTTCCCGGTTTGTTCGAAGGCGACGAATTCTCCTCGTTGATGACCGCCTGTAAAGAAGGTGCCCAGCGCCAAGGTCTGCTGCTCGACTCTCAGGAGGAACTGTACAGATGGTTCACGCAACAAATTATCAAGAACCTCCACGTCGTTTTCACGATGAATCCTCCTGAAGAAGGCCTGTCCTCGAAGGCCGCTACCAGTCCTGCGCTGTTTAACCGTTGTGTCCTTAACTGGATGGGCGACTGGTCCGATCAAGCCCTCTTCCAGGTCGGCTCTGAGCTTACGCAGTCGGTCGATCTGGACAAACCAAACTTCGTTGCACCGGACAGTATCCCTGTTGCTTACCGTGAACTTAGCCTGCCTGCATCCCACAGAGACGCCATCGTCAACTCGATGGTTTACATCCACTACTCGCTACAAAAGTTCAATAAGCGCTTGCAGAAGCAGCAAGGCAGGACCACGTTCCTCACCCCCCGTCACTATCTCGATTTCGTTGCTCAATATGTCAAACTTTTCAACGAAAAGCGTGAGGATCTCGAAGAACAGCAGAGACACTTGAACGTTGGTTTGGAGAAGCTGCGGGATACCGTCGACAAGGTTACCGATCTCCGCGCTAGTCTTGCCGAGAAAAAGTCGCAACTAGAGAAGAAGGATACGGAGGCCAACGAGAAGCTAAAGCACATGGTTGCGGATCAGAAGGAGGCAGAACAGCGACAAGCCGCGTCCCTGGAAGTCCAAAAAGCCCTTGAGGTACAGGAGAAGGAAGTGGCTGAGCGAAAGGAAGTGGTCTTGCATGATCTCGCTAGGGCCGAGCCTGCTGTGCTGGAGGCCCAGAAGAGTGTCAGCAACATCAAGCGTCAACATCTGACTGAAGTTCGTTCGATGGGTAGCCCGCCAGCTAGCGTTCGACTTGCCCTGGAAGCTGTGTGCACTTTGCTTGGTCACAAGGTCGACAGCTGGAAGACCATTCAGGGTATCGCGAGAAGGGATGATTTTATTGCCAGTATCGTCAACTACGACAACGAGCGACAAATGACGCGTGGACACAGGACCAAGATGCAGAACGAGTATCTGTCCAAGGAAGACTTCACCCTTGAACGTGTCACCCGTGCAAGCAAAGCTTGTGGTCCCTTGGTGCAATGGGTCGAAGCGCAAGTCAACTACTCTGCGATTTTGGATCGTGTTGGTCCGTTGCGTGACGAGGTCGGCCACCTTGAAGAAAAGGCTTTGCAAACCAAGGCAGAAGCCCAAGCTATTGAGAACACCATCCAGGACCTCGAACGCAGCATTGGCACTTACAAGGACGAGTACGCGGCGCTTATCAGCGAAACTCAGAAAATCAAGGCCGAGATGTCCAGTGTGCAGTTCAAGGTCGACAGAAGTGTACGCTTGCTCGAGAGTTTGTCGTCTGAGCGTGTCCGTTGGGAAGAGGGAAGCAGATCGTTTGAAACGCAGATCAGCACCCTTGTTGGTGATACTCTCATGGCTGCAGCTTTCTTGGCTTACGCCGGTTTCTATGATCAGCAGTTCCGTAAGGCGATGATCGATGACTGGGCTCAACAACTGTCACAGTCTGGAGTCAGCTTCAAGCCGCATAACCCGATTACGGAGTACTTGTCCAATGCTGACGAGCGTCTGACCTGGCAAGACCACTCGCTGCCGGTCGACGACCTGTGCACGGAGAACGCCATTGTCTTGAAGCGGTTCAACAGATATCCACTCATCATCGACCCTTCAGGCCGTGTCACCGAGTTTTTGCAGAAGGAAAGCACCCAGCGCAAGCTTACTGTTACTAGTTTCCTGGACGACTCCTTCGTCAAGCAATTGGAGAGTGCTCTGCGCTTCGGTAACCCGATCCTCATTCAAGACGCTGAGCATTTGGATCCGATCCTTAACCACGTCCTCAACAAGGAATATCAGAAGACTGGCGGTCGTGTCTTGATTCAACTTGGCAAGCAAGAGATTGATTTCTCGCCTTCGTTTAAATTGTTCCTCTCGACGAGAGATCCATCTGCATCTTTCCCGCCAGACGTGTGCAGTAGAACTACGTTCGTCAACTTCACTGTCACACAAAGCAGTTTGCAGACGCAGTCACTCAACGAAGTGCTCAAGTTCGAGCGCCCCGATGTGGATGAGCGACGTACGAACCTTGTTAAAATGCAGGGAGAGTTCAAGGTCCATCTCCGCCAGCTGGAGAAACGCCTCTTGCAGGCACTCAACGAATCTCGTGGCAATATTCTCGACGACGACAATGTCATCGAAACTCTCGAGACACTCAAGAAGGAAGCAGGCGAAATTTCCAAGAAGATGGTCGAAACCGAAGGCGTCATGACGGAGGTAGAAAACGTCACACTCAACTACAGTATCATAGCCCGATCTTGCAGTGCTGTGTTCGCGGTATTAGAGCAGCTGCACCACATCAATCACTTCTACCAGTTTTCGCTCCAGTACTTCGTCGACATCTTCAACGCTGTCTTGTATCAGAACAAGCAGCTCGCACAAGAAAGGGAACACACAGCTCGTGTGCAAATCATTCTCCGGAGTCTTTTCGTGACAACTTACCAGCGTACTTCGTTGGGACTGGCCCACAAGGACCGTATCACGCTGGCCATGCTTCTCGCGCAGGCTGCACCGTACCCTATGGACAAGGGTATCATCGACACCATATTGGACGAATCTGTCGAGGCCGCAGACTTATCTTCAACCCCGGAGAACCGCGACAAGGTCGTGGAGAAGATCGCCAACATGTCTCTCTTCAAGACCAACTTCCCGTCCATACCCGCGGAGCAATGGGACCTTTTCTTCGGCGAGGAGCTTGCAGAGAATGTTGTGCCTGTCATCTGGGAGGAGAACGCTCCCCAGCTCGATCAGCTGCTCCGGTCTTTGCTTCTTGTCAAGCTGTGCAGAATGGACCGGTTCGTTCCCATTGCGGAACGATTCGTCGGCTCTGTCTTTGGCCGTGAACTCTTCGAGGGAAGCAGTGACTTGAAGGACGTCGTGGACCAAGTCACAGCAAGAACGCCAATCTCTCTCAGCTCCAGTCCTGGATTCGATGCCAGTTACAAGGTCGATGCCCTGGTTGAGCGTACAGGGGCCAGATGCGCGAACATTGCAATGGGTTCCAATGAAGGTCTCGAAAGTGCCGACAAGGCTATTAGCAATGCCGCGGCGGCCGGGAACTGGGTTCTGGTCAAGAACGTGCACTTGGCGCCATCATGGCTCCAGAGTCTCGAGAAGAGACTCGATACTCTCAAGCCGCACAAGAATTTCAGGCTCTTCCTTTCAATGGAATCCAGTCCCAAGATCCCAGTCAACCTCATTCGTGCTTCCCGTGTACTCATGTATGAGCAGCCCGCTGGTATCCGTGCCAATATGAAGGATTCGTTGTCTACGTTGTCTTTGCGGGCTAGTAAGCCTCCTGTCGAGAAGGCTCGTGTCTACCTCTTGCTGTGCTTCTTGCATGCCGTTCTTCAGGAACGACTTCGCTACGCGCCTAGTCTTGGTTGGAAGGGTTTCTGGGAGTTTAACGATAGCGATGTAAGTTCTCACCAATGAACAGTCAAAACTCATTGATACTAACTTCGTAACAGTACGAATGCTCCGCATTCATCATCGACTACTGGATCGAAACCATCGCCCAAGGCCGCTCCAACGTTGCCCCCCAGAAACTCCCCTGGGACATGATCCGGACCCTCGTTACAGAAACCTACGGCGGTAAAATCGACGACCAAGGCGACTTCCAGCAACTTGAGGGCCTCGTGAACAACTTCCTTACGCCAGCCGCCTTCGAAGAAGACTACAACATTGTCTCTGGCGTGCAGGAGCAGGATGATTCTCTTATCCTGCCTGGTGAAACCAGTATCCGTGACTTCATGGAATGGGTCAACCAGCTTCCCGAGAGAGAGCCGCCGACGTACCTTGGTTTGCCGGCGAATGCGGAGAAGTTGTTGCTTGTGGGACATGGTACGACGATGATTGACGATTTGGCGAGGGTTACGACTTTGTTGGATGAGGGGGAACAGTTGATGATTGATGCTTAGTAGCTTGTTCTTAGATGCATATTTTGTTCATTTCCATGTATATCATAGAAGTCACCTGTAGACAAATCATTTTGCGTGATGAACCAAGGTCGGCATCGTAGCTTGTAACTTCGGGAGACGTTGACATGCACGGACGGTTCGAATCGTAGTTCGACCAAGGTTTGTTGGCCGGACCGAACCTGCCGGACCGACCCGCAACATTCTAAGGAAACTGTTACACCCAACAGAATTGTCAATTGAACCATCTGGTTTGATGAAGATTTCGACTGCCAAAATCGACAAGTAGGAAAGACGAGGGGATAAGATCTTAATAGGAGGCTTTTGGTGTTGCGGAATCTAATAAGCGGGAATAAGCCGCGGGTCGTCCATGTCAGGGTGCAGGGTCAGGTTCAAATATACATATATATTAGGAATTGAAGGATACGACAAGACGTAGCTCGAAGAGCTGCGTTAGGATCGGCTTCAGCAGGGAGGGATATTGAAACGGATAAACCAGTAAGGCGGTTAAACTCCGAGTCGGGAAGTCGGGGAGTCGATTATCCGGACTGCACGAGGTTATATAGGAAGAGGAAATTCAGATTACACGGAGGGTGACATTGATATCTATAGACGCCATATATGGTAGAATGAGTGCTTGGCTATCTAAACGAGTGTGTCCGTATATGAGGGATCTGTCGGCCTCGGTAATCGGACCAACTATTGATCCACCTCGACTTTCATCACTTTCATCAGGCTGGCATCGTGACAGTCCCATTATTTTGGACAAAACCCGAGGCAGAGCAGTGATAACTCACAGCCTTGTCGGCTTCAGCTAACCTCAGCTGGCCATAGGCGCTTAAGGTGGTTGCCATCAGATATCGCTCTTCTTTGATGTCTCTCCTATGAAATACACAACTAATTGTCAATCACACGGTGGATCAGACCGTATCCAGCATGCATGGCGGAGAGCTGAGTCCTCTTGATAGCAGGGGACTGTGTCTGCTATCTCTGGATGGTGGAGTGCGAGAGCTCTCAGCACTGTACATTTTGAAAGCTCTCATGGATCGATTGAACCATGAACGAGCGGATCGCCCACCAGTCAAGCCATGTGAAGTGTTTGATCTGATCGGGGCACAAGCACAGGAGGATTGATTGCAATCATGCTCGGCCGCCTTGAGATGACTGTTGACGAGTGTATTGATACGTATGTCAAACTGATGACAGCAATCTAAAAAATAAAAATCGCGATGGCCCACAAGTTGGACTGGCAAAATTAAGTTGCGATTTAATGCAAAAAAGCTAGAACATGCAATTAAAGATGCCATTACAAGCAATGGGGCAAAGGAGACAGACTTTTTAATGACGGAGTTGAGCGCGGCTGTCGGGTGTAAGTATTCTTCCATAAGGGTGTGATAGTTCTAACGTTGTCAGCTTTGTGTGCACCATTGCACATGAAATGGAAGAGATTGCACGCCTTCGAAGTTACAGCCTACCCCACAAACGCAACATTCGTGCCACTATCTGCCAGGCCGCACTTGCAACGTCAGTTGCCACAACCTTCTTTGATCCTGTTTACATTGGAGCGCGCAAGTTTGCTGATAGGGCTTTGGGTGCTAATAATCCAGTGGAACAGGTGGAATGGGAAGCGTCAGACATCTGGTGCTCTGGTACAGGTGATTTAAAGCCGCTCGCGAAGTGCTTTGTCTCCATCTGGACAGGGAGCCCAGGAAAGAAAGCAATTGAAGACAATATATTGAAGTTTCTTTCTGGAACGCTGGTCAGTATTGCGACTGAGACTGAGAATGCCGAGAAGAAATTCATTGCCATATGACGGCAGCATTTAGATGAGAAGCGGTATTTCTGCTTCAATGTCGACCAGGGTCTGCAGAATGTGGGGTTGGCGGGATATCGCGAGCAAGGAGAAATCGAAGCAGCAACAGATGACTATCTTGAACATCAGGCCCAAGAGTTCCGAGTGCGAGATTGTATTCAGAACTTGAAATTTAAGGAAAGTGTGTACATCTCAGATTTTGTATAGAAATGATAGACGCCTGACTGATGTTTGTAGGTATGGCAGACACCAATCTCGCATCGATAATTTATGTAGAGCTGCATAACTGCACTGCGAGAGAATCCTGTTTATATCACATACGAACATGACGTTCAGCATGTCCAAAGGAACTTGCAGTTTGTGGGTCGTATTTTAGAGATGCAAAGACAGCGTTCCCTGTATTCAGTACCATTTAAACTTGTGGGAAGCTTTACAGAGCGAGCCGCTCTTTTCCAAGAAACTGAGGATAAGCTACAACAGGATTCCTTGGATCAACCTCGACCGTTTGCAGCCGCTTTTTGTGGGCCTGGCGGCACCGACAAGACTCAGTTAGCATTAAAATGTATTGAAGACAACGACAAGTTTAATCCGATACTTTGGGTCGATGCCGAGGATCAGGAGACAACACGGACAAGTTTTAAACGATGTGCCACTGACCTCAACATTCGAGTAGATCGAACCTCAGGGCAAGGGTTACATTTGAGAGACTTACCTAACGTGCAAGCTATGCGTCTGTGGCTTCAACACCGAAAAGAGTTGGATGAAGAGTGACTGGTGGTTTTCGATAATGTTGACAACATGGCCTGGGTGTCTTCGACACACTGCCTGAGGGTCAGAGAGGAAATATCATTATCACTAGCCAAGATGGACATTTGTCGAAGCTCCTCAATGGTTGTGACAAAGTATTAGTTGATATAATAAATTCCGTCGAGGCGCGGGCACTTCTTTTATGGCATCTCAATCTTGGTCATCAACCGGTAAGCCAGGACACTAAGGACTTATGTGATCAGGTAGCGAAGCGGCTGAAAAATCTACCTTTAGCAGTTGATCTTGCAGGGACATATATCGCAAATGATTTGGATCCACAACCAAATCCATGGTCTGCACTCACGCAGTTCTTGGACTACTATGCGAAACATCAGAACCAGCTGTTACGGAACAGTCAGTACAATGGTCTCTCAAGCTATAGAAAAACAGTGTGGACAGTCTGGGACACAACATTGCAGAAGATAGAGGAGAGGTACCCCAGCCGACATTAAAGCTTTTGCTCATATTCCTGGGCCACTTTCCAAGTAGATTTGTTCAAAGAGAGCTATTGAGGCTTGCAAGTCTTCGATTTTTTCCTGTTCATCATGATATCTTTGCAGGACATCAAGATTTCCCTGACTGGCTTAAGACATTTTTAGCCGTCGAGGAGGACAGGTGGGTCGATTTTAATTACCAAAGTGCGCTTGAGCCGCTGATCACTTACGGTTTCCTCAGGTCAATGAGGGGGAGTGGCCTGGAGTCAGAATGCATAGCCTGGTTCGATGGCGAGCGATGCAGTACAAAGATGACTATCAGGAGCCATGTAATATATAGCACATGGAATTTATGCTGGAAGCATGTCATGAGCTTTTAAAGGATACTGCCAGGCCACAGTCTCGAAGGCATATAGTCATCTATATACCGCAGGTTAATCCATCTTTGGTTGAATCTGTCAATAAAGAAGGCAGAGAGAAGATGTGGGACATATTGGGTGAGACTTACAATGGCGGAGGCCGGTAGGAAGAGGCAGAGGTAATGCATCGACAAGCACTAAAAGAGAGAAAAAAGATGCTGGAGCTTGAGCATTCAGACGCACTGATCAGTAAGAGCAAACTCGGCTGGATGCTTGTGAGCCAGGGGAATAATGAAGCGGCAGACAATGTATCGACAAGCACTAAAAGGGAGATAAAAGGCGCTGGGACCTAAGCATCCAGACACGCTAATCAACGTGAGCAACCTCGGCAGAGACAATGTATCGACAAGCACTAGGAGGGAGAGAAAAAGTGCAGGGGCCTAAATATCCATACGCGCTGACTATTGTGTGTCACGGGCTCGGAATAGTAGATAATAACGAACTGAATTCCTATCTAGACTATTGTAGCCATCGACGAGAATATCGAATCTGGAGAAGAAAAGAGAAGAGGAAATCTATCTAGGTAATAAAGGGGTTTTATAGATGTTGTTGGCGACATGGCTGAGTAGCAGCATTTGCGATGTATCATTCATTGCTGCAGTGTTGAGCCGTCATATGAGTCGTCACAGTGGGAGCAATCTCAGCTTGGTCCTTGAGAGGCAGGGGATTTATGAAGAGGCAGTCCGTTGGCACCACCCTGCTGATCAATAACAGGTGTGGTGTATTGCTAAGAATCAGCATCTGAAATGTTTTCCGTTATCTTCTTATATCTACTTAAAAGGAAGGTCTAGGATAGCTGAACATTACATATTTCTCCAGTTTGCCAAAAATTCGAGCAATTTCTACCTAGTTCTCAGATGGTGTAACAAGTTGCCATTATTTTTGGCGGCGCTAAACGTTTCTGCTACCTTCGTGGGCGAGTATGCCGGACAATTAAACCGAGCATGGGAATAAACCAATATATCCGAAGTGTCAACATTAAATGTTCTCCGTTCTAACTTCCAAGTCCTGAAGAACCATGTATCACCCACGCAATGTGTAGTGCCTTAATTTCAAATATATGTGATATACTTCAAGAGCTCTCAATACGAGAAAACTAGCCTAAGGAGGAAAAGGGAAAAGGAGAAGGAACGTGGCGACCTAGGTAGTTGAATGCCAACATTGTGAGCCAAACAGGGCAAGCCATGTAATGCTATCAATGTGGATGGTTCAGATCAAAAGGGACTACACCTCAGCCACCACGTATAGTGTCGAATATTATTGAAGTCTTCACTGTTACATTCTAGAATGGACAATATAGGTGTGATATAACTACCTTGTTATATTAGGGGTTAGTACAATGCATAACATACTTGAAATATTAGCTAGCATATTGGCAGTGGCGCTGAGAAAGAACTAAAGTGTGTGCACAGCGTAAAAGCCGAACTTGCAAGGCATTGTATGAGTTTGGACACCGGTGTGAAGTGCCAGACAAAATTGATGATGTGGTGCAGTTCTTGAAGGAGAAAGGGTTCAGCCGTTCAGGTTGATAGCGGCACGTGTCCATCTTGCCTCATCTATCCATCGTTTATCAATTGAGCAATCTTATTTTGATATCATTACAATACATACTTCCGCGAGTTTGATTCCATGCCCCTTCGTTGCACCCTGATACGTGTATCTGCCGAGGGCTTCTTCCACTCACCCCTACCTTCGTAATACATAGTGAGGAATTGTCGCTTTTAGCTCAAGTGTGTGGTGAAGTATCTATAATATTACGAAACTTTCCTTGCTTTGTTTATATTCTGACTTTCCCTGCTGGAAAGTGGTTCATTTGGTGCCGTGGGTCTATCGCCGGGGACATTCCACAGCGGGGCGGGCCGTTCCGTCACGCAGATCACGTCCCACATATTGCAATGACAACTCTACGAAGAGACTCGATTAGGGCACCAAGTTGGATGCGAAAGACGTTTGTTTTATGTGCTGCCTTGAGTTTCAGCAGCGAATGATGCGTATGGTCCGGATTTGGATCACATTTTTTGAGCATACATGTACGCGTTCTGGGCCTTTGTTCGGAGTTGTCTTGACTACTAAAGGAAATTGCCTAGAAAGGCCGAACTGTGCGGTTAAATGATATATCTATCCATATACTGACCTACGCTGCACTTATATCATTTCGGTTGCTGTCAGTCACCATGTACTTAACCAATCCGCTATAGTTCTACGGTCATCCGATATTCCCATCTCACGGGGCAGACTTTTTAGCCAGGATCAAAGTCCCAAGCAACTTACGCTAATCATGTGATCTCTGCAACACAAACTGACAGTTATTTGTGTGGGATTCCGTACATAGTTGACAATCTGCCACCACGATGGTGCGTAGTAAATGCAATAGAACGAGTGCTATTTTGCCGCACAATGCCGGAAGATGTCGGTTTGTGCGGGTTTTCAACTACACAGGCACTTTCTAAGTATCCAACTACCTCTGCTGTCCCAGGTGTTCAAACCACCAGCGGCAGAAGCGTCTCTCTTGTTTGATCCGGCAGTGCTCGATGCTGCTAATGCACCATTGGCTAACCAGAATACCATGTCAACAATCTATTGAGCAGCTCCGGAGAAGTCGGACCAGGTCCCCTGCGATGCCACCATTTCCTTCGGTTCGTCTTCTACATACTCTGAACAAAACATATAGCCCTGTCCCTAGCACCCATATCCACGCTTATTTTAAATAGAACGCCAAATCAGCTCCCTCGTCTCTCTCCCATTCAAGTTCGCCATTGCCGAGATATGAAAAAGGATCCAAATTGTTATTATAACGGATATCAAAATCTTCGCCACGAATGTTCTCAATGGCCTCTACACTTGAAAGTCAGCAATCAATCCCAGAAACTTTCTGACATAACTCCTGCGAGACTTGCCTTTGTAGTGAAGTACACTGCCCGGGTACATTGCTGTGACAACGCGTCCGTTGTTATACCAGGCATTGCAGCCAGTACTCCACACCGTGTGCTTCAGATTAGCCTGTACCCTACGGTTATAGCTATAGACAACAGAATCTTTGACTGCGATTGACCTGGACGATTCATCAGTTGCAATAAAGCGGGTTTATCTCGGACAAGTTCTTACTTGATATCTTCGCGGGCCATCTTCTTGATCCATTTGAGCATATAATCAGCAGTCCAGGCCAGCATTTGAGGCACGCTACCATGGCCAATTGGGCAATTTGGACCAGCAAACATGAAGTAGTTCGGAGTGCCACCGGCGCATATGGAAAAGTATGCCTCTGGTGTCTTCTTCCATTCCATATCTAGTCGCCGACCGTCGCGACCAACAAGCTCCCATCCCGGGGCAAATGTGGTGTCAAAGCCAGTTGCACAGACAATCAGGTCAAAATCCTGCTCGCCTCCTTCTGTGATGATACCTGTTTCTGTAGCCTTCTTGATCTCGTCGAAGCACCACTCGGCATTGGGTTCTTGCATAGCCTCGAGATATCCATCGCCGGGGCTCAATCGGCGACATCCAATTGCCGTCTTAGGAATGAGCTTCTCAATCAGCTCAGGATTTTGGTTAAGCCGCTGTCGCATGAGTTCCTCGGTCGCGTTGTGCAGAAATCTGTTTAGTTTAGAGCCGGAAAGCATCAGCCGATAGACAGAGTTGACCCTTCGCGGAATTAGCTATACCAAGTCAGAACGAAGGCAGACCAAACCTACGAGCACTCAATTTGTTTTCTTTCGGCCAGGAAAGCCTCCGGATTGGTCTTGAACTGCGCTTTCTCCTTCTCGCTGTACTCGAAGTTGGTTCCCATTCCGTCCTTGGTGATGCCAGGACACAGATTGACAGATACCCATGTAGGATGCCGTATATAGTTGACAACCTTTGCGGCTTTTGGCTGCAGCGAAGGCACGATTTGAATTCCTGATGAGCCATTGCCGATGACTGCGATCTTCTTGCCAGCCCAATCATAGGACTTATCCCAACCCGCTGTGTGAATAACTTTTCCACTGAATTGGTCCAGGCCGTCAATGTTTGGCATTCTCCACCGGTTGAGAATTCCAGATGCATTGATAAGGATGTCTGCTTCATCTTGGATGGCGGTAGTACCATTCTGCTCCAATTCGAGGCTCCATTTTCCTCGCTCTTCATTCCAGATGGACTTGATCAACCGGGTATTGAACACGATTTTTTCCTTGAGTTCGTGCTTGTTCACCGTGTTGATTATGTACTGCTCGATCTCGTCTCCACCGACATAGCACTTTGACCAGGACGGATTCGGTTCGAAGGGAAAGACATAGCTGTGAGCAGGAACATCACATGCTACCCCAGGGTACACATTCTCGAGCCAGGTACCTCCAACCTCCTCGTTCTTCTCGTAGAGGGTAAAATCCACGAAATCGAGAGTCCGATCGTGCTTGAGCTTATAGGCCAAGTTCAGGCCGGAGAATCCTGCACCAATGCACACGACTCGGAGCCTGCGCGCCTTGAAGGCACATTGGCTGTGGTCCACAGTGACACCCTCACTACCGAAGAGCTCGTTGGACGGCATAATCAGTTAACGAGAATAGACGTTTATTTTGCTCTGTTTTTCCATTTCCAGGTGCGTGCCGGCAGACCGCACCCTTTAAGGTCCCTACACTTGAGGGCTATCAGTGGCCCACCCAGTAGAATAGTGTTTTACCGGATTGGGTAAAGCTGCCCGTTTTCCGAGAACTTATGATATGGCTCCCGTTTCCTTCCGTTGTGGGTGAGGATTGGATTAGCGCGTGTTCTAGCACTAGCCGGCGTTTCAGCAGGACGAGGATGCGAATCCTCCTGGTTCAATAGCTACGTCGTTGCATGCCGTTCTGAAAAGGTAGATGGCGCAAAACTCACTTGATCCGACTGGGCACTAATGCACAAGAACACTGCCCTAAGACCCATTTGAGCGTCCATATTGGATGAGCAGGTGACAGTGGCAATGTTCCAAACGAAAATTCCCACTCCACCGAGGCCGTAGCCCACGCCAAACAAATATTTACAGGCGAGTTATGGTCCGTCATTCGTGTACGTACCTATCTAGGTGGAGATAAGGATCAAGCTAATAACCGCCCCCATATTTTCAAAGCTTTGATTGCTGCCAATGAAAATAAATGGAAGGGCCCCGAAGATTCATGTGTGTATATCGCTATCATGTATGTATATCGCAAATTTGTTTCCTTTCCTAATTGCCTATAAGCAAGCAATTTGCTATATGAATATCGTCATATAAATCGGATGAGTCTCTAATGGTAATTGACAGCAATGCCATAGAGTGTGTGCGGCGGGAGGTCCAGCCGGGATTGATCTCTCTACAAACAACTGTGAGAAACAATGCGGCGGTCATGACAGTCTATATTCTTGCAGCGATGTTTTTCGCGTTTCGATTATATCCAAATTTCGAGTGCAACAAACGAAAGTAGTCTCGGGAAATGGATGATCCTGGCTGCTCTGGCATGTGCTTCCCATGCTGATACCTCTGACAACCATCAAATCTTGATTTCCATTCATTTTGCAGCTGACTGTGACTGCAAGCCTTGTCTGCACTATCATTGGTATGTCGGGGACCATGTCATCTTGTGCGTGAGACCCAGTTCTAATCAAAGTAGGCGGACATTATGGCCTCAGAAGGCATGTATAGGCCGTGCCCATGTCCAACATCACTAAAGTGGCCCAGGTTTATTTGAATACATTCTCCTCTGCGTCGTCACTGTCCTACTGATCAAATTCTCGGTGCTCTTCTTCTACAGACGCAGCTTCGGGATGACCAAGTCGATGTGATTCTGTGTCTCAACTGTCGGCTACTTTGTCGCTTGATACATCACCTTCTTCGTTTGCTGCCGGCCAGCTTCGTATTACTGGACGCAGTACACCGATCCCATCGGCGGGAAATGCATCTTCAAACTATATGCCTTATACGTCGGCAACGCTACTGCTGATGTGACCACAGATGAAGCCATTATGCTAGTTTGTATCCTACTAGTCTGAAAATTACAAATGAGGCCGAGCCAAAGGGCCATGGTGTGCGGCATAAAATCTGAAAACCTGGGCTGATATAATGTTAAGAAGAGACAAGCCTGTTCCCCACGCACGACCTCAGTTTTTAATTTTCTTTAGATGTCTCGGAGTTACCAGTCCCATGTGTAGAACACTCCCCACCAGCGATTTCGTCGAACAATTCCACCAAACATATTGTATGGAACTGACGATTGCCATATAACTTAGTAAACAACCAGTTCTTTCGCGAACCCCGTAAGGTGAACTATTCTTCCAAGTACTCTGCCATTACTTTCAGCTTCGGTAAATTCTTCTTTGCAGTATCATGGCCCTTATACTCACTTGCTTGACCATTTGACGCCGGTATATTTGCCGCTATGTGTTCTAATTCACGACTGACCTCAGGTCCTGCTTCCTCCAAGACGGATATTCCGTTAACAGTGTTGATTGATTTGACTGTGAGTACAACTGGCCCAGGGCTGCCACTGAAATCAAGAGTGAAGGTCGATTTACTTGAGCTCAAGTTGACAGCAGTTATGTACAAGAAAGGTCACATAGTCTGTGCTACGAGCTGATGCTGGCCATGGAGAACTCTTAAGGATATCCTTCTTATCGACGTTCAGATTTTTGGGAAGTTCGTACTTGCTCGCCCCTTTGAAGATGGGATTAAAACCTACACAGTATCATGAGTTACCAGGAGGACCAGAGAGCTCATTTAGGCTGATTTCTTACCGAAGAAGGGTAAATTCATATTGCTCTCTATAGAAAAGGGCAGAGAGAATAGACAAATTTGTTGATGCCGATTAGATAAACTGAATTGCTTGACCCTATTCCTCATACAGCAATAGTACAGGAAGCATATAGCATTTGGTTGGCTATGTCAGCAGGGGTTATGTATACGAATTCTTAATCGGGAAGGAGCTGCTAGGTGAATACCATCAAGACGAATCTGCGAAGCTGAACAGGGAGATTTATAAAATAACAATCAAAGGTGAAATCTTTGGCGTCCAAGTCTGATTATTGGAAATGACACTGAAAATGACAATTACAACGCGATTCATCTGTAGTAGAATAATTAGACCGTATATACGATAATACGATATGCAGAGAATTCGTTATTAGCAGCTGCAACCCGAAATACAATTTCCTGAGGCCGTCTAAGCTCCCTCTTCTTCCTATCCTCCCTCTCTTCTTCTCCGTCTTTCCCTCCATCCCCATCATGATTTCCATCTCAGTTTCACATCTTTTCTTACCAAATTACACTACTACGTTCCGGTCTTGTCCATTGTGGCTCGCAGACAGCACCATGGACTTTGGAGTGAATCAATTATCTTTAAGGTCTATTCCTGGAAAACGCTGCTTTCTACAGACTAATTGTTCTCGCCGAAGGCTTCGTATATAGATTCATCGATATTCATGGAGTCAAGTACAATATGCCTTCTGCGAGCCACCACAGGGTTATCACTTACTGGCTGGTTCTCATGGATGGCGTTTACTCAGCAATCTATTATATGTGGCTCTACACGAAATGGGGGTGAGTAGAAATTTGTTTGCGTCGAGGCAATGGCCGATAAACAATTTAATCTACCAGAAGGGATTATGGTCGCAGCCAGGCGATCAAAGAAGGTGATGTTGAGCCTGGAGTCTATGATGTTGAATTGTCAAGTAGATCGCGTATCTGGGACAGTTAGCAATAAGGCACTGATGTAGATGACAGGCATCCGTACAACTCCTACCACTGCCGAGGACGACTACTCCTTCCAACGACGCCCACGACGGTCAGTGTAATCCCGATAATAACGAGAATGAGCAGACTGGTCCTGATCTCGGTGATAACGAACAAGTCGCTTAGGTGGGAATAACTTAAAGGATGTCTAATCGACGTGACACAATGGGATATATTTTTATTCGAGAATCAGTGGGCGGTTTAATGTTGCACAGATACCGGACTAATGTAGTCGTTAGCTCAATGGTTTTACATTAATGAAGGAGGATTCACCTCTGCCACCGAAACCGTCAGGTATATTATGACTGCCATGCAGCCACGCCTGGTGCGTATCTGAACAGCTTCAGCGGTGTGCTCTTTTTCGTGTCGATGCTAGATTTGCTCGGTATTTAGGAGTACGTAGGTTGTCCGAAAACAAAGCATCTCGTCAGAGATTCGTGTGCATTTGCTAAGACTGCACTGGTATCGAGTTACGTGCTGGCTTGACAGCTTAACGCAAATATTGGAGCTACATTATACGGAGTGGGAGAAAGGGAAGTAATGGCTGGTAACCAGTATGTATCAGAAGGTAATTACACTTGTATAGTGCATTATTAGGATTTCGGATCGCGTTAATAAGTGAGTAAACATCGTCAATCTTGAAAAAAGCAAAAGCAAAACTCATGTAAAAACGCCATCACCGAATGCCAAAATAACGTTCCAAATCTTCTCATGAAATGAAAGTGGCTTCAGAGAACATGGTTCCCTCTTCAGCAACTTCCTGACCACCAACCTTGACCTTCAAGGTAAGCTTTTCTTGCGGTGCGTACTATATTCCCATTAGCTATGTGTAATCCAAACCAGCACAGACAATCAAACATACTTGAAAGATGTAGGGCTTCGTGCCGGCAACACTGCCTGCAATCGTTTTGATGAACCCTGGGACTTCCGCCATGACATCGATACGGTCCTGTCGCTTGCCAAGAGAACCGTCCAATTCCGCATGGAATTCCTTCTCATCTGTCGTCTTGCCGTCCCAGTTCCATTTGATGGACTTGGGCTCAGGCCATTCACTTTCTTCATCCTTGGCGGTGTCGGTGTGGGTGGCCGTGTTGTTGACGCCAGCGTAGACAATCTCATTATCCTTCACAATACCACCGACATTAACGACAGTCGAGCCATACGAGGGAGGTGTGGTGAATTCCATCATGACGGCGGAGTAGGATGGGGTTTGGAAGTTGACGAAATTCCAGCGGGCCGCTATTTTGGTCAGACTCTGATAACACGATGCCAGGGATATCTCGTTGAAGACTTACCAGCATGGTGCGGCTTCATGCCCTGGATCGCATGGATGAACATGCCCCGACCCCCGAGGTCAAAGGTCTCTTCCTTGGTCTTGATGGTGCCTTGGACTGTGCAACGGGGCCAGAAGGCGTGATGCATTGAGCCCCAGGGGTTCTCGGCATCCGTGCCAAAGTAAGTCGTTCCGTCCTTACCGATGACGAAGCCAGGAGCGGCCCGGGTGAAGGTCAAGTCCACCACGCTGTCCTCACTCACGGCTGACTGAATAGTGTAGGCAGTGCCTTCTTCGTTGAGAGACACGGACAGATTATCGGCGCCAAACGAGAGCATCTTCTCATCGAACATGAAGTTGGACAAGGGATCGGAGTGCCAGTTGTGCGGACCATCGCCTTTGAGGTTGAAGATCTTTGAGTTGAACTGGGCGGTGGTATGGATGCCCCTATTGAAAACAACAAAGTCAGCGATATGGACTACTATCAAATCATAACAAGGCATGCTCACACGATATTGCTGTAAATAACCTGAACCATCACCAGAGTGCCATTATCGCCCATCGCATAGAAAGTCTGGGTCTCGACATTGGTGTACTGGAGGGCGCGCCACCGCAAATCCTCCTTAGTCAGTTCAGTAAAACGAGCAGCTTCAGTCTGTTTAGCGACAGATTGGATGGCTTCAGGGCCGTAGATCGGTTCCTGCGTGCCGGCAACACTGGCCAGACTGTAGGAATCAGCACATTTGATTTCGTCTTAGCAGAGCGGGGAAAGAGGGGGTGAACATACGTCGACTTGAGCCAGTTCATGATGAAGAGAAAGATTTATTTCTTGAGAAAGAATAGAATATGAAGGAGCTGGGTGTTGGAAGTTCAGAGGGAAAGAAAAAGGAACGGGGACCCGTTGTTGGGCCGATGGGAAGGACGAAGAAGGGAAAACAATAGCGCGCGGGGCCCAAAGGGGTCTAGTCCAGTTCTTTGGGGACAAAAGAGCAGATCAGGATAGGAGATCCTCAACCGAATGCGGAAACTCGTTGTCAATGGATGAATAATACTCCACGAATTCAAGCGGTTTGAAAGCTACTGACAGCGACCAGAGCAACAGATTATCAAATATGCTGGACGAACAGTTAATTGCCAGAGTTGGATGACGTCCAACTAGCGGACTGCCGCGGTTGTCTCGCTTGTCGCTTGTAGCGACCACGGTACACGCTAAACCCATTCAGGACTAGTCGTCATTACCTAATGGTGGCAGCAACTCCGCCGGAAAATTGAGAAAGATGAATGTCTGGGGAAGCAAGTTAAACAAGCATCTATCACTTCTCCGAGTCTATTAAACTCACCTCGAGTCGTCTCTCATCATGGCAAAGAAGGCATTGGCACAAGATCAGATTGTGAAGCTCATTGTTGGCGCTGGCCAAGCCAGCCCCAGTCCTCCCGTTGGTCCAGCTCTGGGTAGTAAGGGTGTCAAGAGCATGGACTTTTGCAAGGCAAGTGATGAAGTTAAGATCAAGAGGAAAGACATATGAGCCATTGCTGACTAGAGTGGCTACCTACAGGAATTCAATGCCCGCACAGCACACATCCAAACCGGCACTCCAGTCCCCGCGCGTGTGACCGTTCGTCCTGATCGTTCGTTCACCTTTGACCTCCGCACGCCCACTACTTCCTGGCTACTCTTGCAGGCTGCAAACGTGGAACCGCGCAAGAACCGAGTCCGTGGCGCCATTAGCCCAGGACATGAGACCATCGGCCAAGTGTCTTTGAAGCACGTCTACGAGATTGCGCAGATCAAACAGTCTGAACTGCGGTTATCGGGATTGTCCATGGAAGGACTATGTAAGAGTGTAATTTCGCAAGCCAAGTCGATGGGTATCAAGGTCAATCCATAAATGGAGGGATATACTGGACATAATGTACACCGAGGTAGCTGATATGGTTTATATCCAGTCCTTGGGTTATGACGCTGGCGTTTGTTTGGGATGGAAAGTTTACTACTGTATTATAGATTTGCATACGATATGATTGAGCGTGTCTTGTTGCAGGTCGCGGTTATACCAACCTTCCGTATTGAATGGCTGTCCTGGTATGGAGTACAGCAGACGTTTGTTGTACCCCGGAGTGCAAACAAAATCTGACACATGACGTACTCCGTCCCTTGGACTTTTGTCTAGGGTACATTCCGTACACATCCCGGGGGAACTGGAATGCCGATTGGCAGGTTTCCGCGCGGCCGTGCAAATGGTGTACTGTGCTTCCGATCTCTTTTCATAAGCATCATCCTTGGCAGCTATGAAGCCGATGTGAATCCACGTAATCCATTTAAGTCGCTGCTACGAAGTATGTATGAGGAGAGTTGCTATACTTTGTACTTAGAATGCCACTACGGACTAGAGTAGCGAGATACATAATTGGGTAGAGCAAAATTACTCGCAAACCTCCTAGTAATCTTGAGGTTCTGGGCTGCTATGTGAGCATAGTAATAATTAGTCCTGAAGGGTCGGCCCATCTCGGAGATCTCTCGCCTACGCGATAGTGCTGGAAGATGACATTCTTGGAAATGGTCTGAGATGACTCCAATTGAATTGGCGGCCCTCGATAGAGCCGCAGCAGGCCAGGGACATGCCAATGATACCAGTTTCTGAAGTAATTGGACTGATGGTAGTACTGTACAGTGCAGAGTACGCCCCCATCATTCGTTAGCATTCATCATAGAGATGCTTCTTTCAGCACGGAGCGCAGGCTAGCCGTATGGAGTAGAAACAGGGGTGGATATCGACAGGATCCCGCGGTAGATCATCAGGGAGGATTGACATCTCAACTGTTGCATTTCCGTGGAGGTGATACTCACATGCACCATATAATGTAAAAGGTAACGCAAATTGAAGAGCTTTACCCACCTCCAGTGAATGTCAATTGGCTTCGCATTGAGATCAAATACTTCAGAGTGCTCCATACATAAAAACACCTTCATGTGATCTCCACGATCTAACGACTAACCCGAATGGGAAACTTCCCCAAGTCGGAGGCAGTTCGTGATATGACGGTGCATAGACCCACTTTTCTCTTTTCGGCTGTGCAGTGATCATACATAAAGTGCTCCGTACACTAGTGTTATTTTCATCTGTAGGTAGGCATACATATTACAGACAGAGCAGATACAGAAAATAATAATTCTCGATAAATATGCATGCCCAGCTTATCAATTCAGCCATGTCATATGAATCACGAATGACTGATTAATCATCGACGGTCAAATCCAGAACTCTGATTAGCATGATGGCTGTTCGCGGTGGGTTGCCGGCACGACGGCTCCGGTAATACAGACAGGCATACATAGTAGTTTCCAGTGAGCATTAATTCAGTAATATCTTCGGGTATAAGCAGAAGTCGTTGGTTATATGTAATAGCGTAATATTTATCATAAATATCATAATCGCATTATGTACATTTCTCTTGGGCATACGGAGTAGTGCATAGTTCCCGTTCATTATCACGGAGCCACTCGCCGACCCCGAGCAATACCACATGCGTTACCAAGCATTACCGCCGTCCCATACTCTCCGCCCGGTCCCGAACACTGCCAAGGTAACGGAAAAGAGTCAGAATGTTCTCTTCGCCCCCCTCTTGTGCGCTGTGACATATTGGCCTGCCGAGAGAAAGTGCATAATGATACATTTTATTCCAGATGAATTCCTCGCTGTGTAAAAATGACTCTGTTTTGCCCCAAATAACACGCCAAGGCCAAAATACATGATGTGGTAAAGACGTAAACGCTACTCTTGGCGGTCCCCCACTATGACTGTCGTATCTTACCGTTATGTATTGTCACGGGCGCTTTGCTCTTGCTCTGTTTCGCTCTTTTCCTGTTCTCTTTTCCTCTTCCTATATCATCCTCTCTTTTCCCATCATCCTCTTTTTTGCCTCACTCTCCTCTCTTTCTATATTTTTGTAATATAATCCTTCAGGATCAATATCCCCTCTATTCCCCTCTCCCCTTCCCCTCATTTTCCCATCTAGTCCACCGGTCCCCGTCCCGTCTGTCCGTTGTCGCTCCCCCAGACTCGCCGCTACTACTTCGCGTTGGTGGCCCCGGTTTGCAAGGAAGAAAAAGGAACGGTCTCTTTGCCGCTAGATCCGTCTCGACTGGAACACCAAATCCCTGATTTAGTTTGCGCTTGCGTCTTTCGCGGTTCTCAAAACACTCGTCTCGCCTGCAGCAATTAATTAAAGAAAAGAAAGGTGTTACAAATAAATAACTATAACGGCTTATCATCGGTAGAGGGGGCATGTGTCCCACAACGTTTACTGCTGGTTTCGACGATTATGACGTCTGAGTCGACGACCGACCTTTCACGTTCAACAAACGCTATGGATTCAGGTGCGCATTGCTGTTTTGCCCTGCCTTCTGCACCCTCCTCCCTCAAAGCCATCGTCTAATCTAGGTTTTTGATTTATCAGTATCCCAAGCGACCCAGAACCCGGTCCACATGCAGGACGCTCAAATCCCGGAGGAGTCTGACGCAGACTCCAAGTCAAAATCACAACCCGGTCAAGTTCGCTTTTCGTCCGTCACGGAGGAGATTGAACCATCTGTCAAGTCTCCATCGGCTCAGGACTCCGCCCTTGAAGGGATACCGTCTTCTTCGATCCCGAACCAAACGTCCGACGAAGAAATACGCACATTGGCCGCTACTTTCCAACGTTCCCACCTGCAGGAGTCTAGACTTCGGAACTTTTCCTACGAGCCTGTCTCTTTGCCGTCTTCAAGGGTATGTATGCAGTTTGCCGTTTGATGCACGTATGAGTTGTACAGCTGAGAAAATGTTGTCGTGGACACTGTCCGTTCTCCCATCAATTCCTCTGGTCGCATTCTTCGGGATGATCTCACTTGCTTGACACATGGCTTTGGTGACGTGGAAAGACGGCTGACTCTTTAACTCCCTTTGCAGGTCGCTTCCCGAGAATCCAGCGATCGCAGTACTCGAGAAGCTAATGGTTCCATTCCTCACTCCCCACGCGCCTCCCCACACGCATCAGCCATGCAATCCCCCCCTCTCACCCCGGCCGCTACCCATTCGCACGACACTAAGATGAGCGATAGTGCTGTCAGCATCAACGGAAGCGACAAGGGAGGGCTAGCACAGTCCACCCCAATGACCCCAGAGACCTCCCCGCCTGGCTCGACAGCAGAGAAGAAACCGGCTCCACAAAGCGCGCCTACCTCGCGACCCTCATCAACCGACCGTTTGTCCCATAGACAAAGCGATATTTCACGCGAGTCTACGAAACGCCCGTCTGACGCAACCAAGCATCTGCAGTTCTTTGGCGCCGACACAGACTTGAAGCGCCAGGAAGAGAGCCGTCCATCCTCTGCACGAAAGATCGATACCGGAAGTTATACTCCTCCCGGTGCCATCACCCCGGTTGGTGAGCCGAACGACCCATACGCTCGCAGCAAGCGGCCCCCGCCACCCAAGAACCTTGCGCAACTCGATCCTCGATTCATTTTCGGAAGTCGCGATTTAAAACGACGGGCACAGAGTCTTCGTCCCGGAACCCCACGTTCTTCCAGCGCGGGAGATCTCAAGTCAAACGATAAGCGAGGTCACCTGTTTGGAAGTCACAAGAAGGATCTGGGGCGGGAGGACTCAGATGGCAAGCATCATGGCCATATGGCTGAACTCAAGCGGTTCTTCAAGATTGGTCACCACCGGCATAAGCGCAATGACTCCCCCTCGTCGCCTTCCAAGAAGTCAAGCCGATCGTCTGGCAAGAATACGCCATTTCAAATGGCACCCGACAATGTTCCGTTTGCCGATGACCACGGTTTGAATTCCAAGTACGGGAAACTTGGAAAGGTGCTGGGGTCCGGGGCCGGTGGTTCCGTTCGTCTCTTGAAACGGAATACCGACGGCGTCACATTTGCGGTGAAGCAATTCCGAGACCGCCATAGCTGGGAGACCTTGAAAGAATATTCCAAGAAGGTAACGGCAGAATTCTGTATTGGATCGACGTTGCACCATGGCAATATTATCGAGACCCTAGATATCATTCAAGAAGGTAGTCATTGGTATGAAGTGATGGAATATGCTCCGTTTGACCTGTTTGCCATCGTTATGACCGGCAAGATGGCGAAGGAGGAGATCGCTTGTTCTTTCAAACAAATCCTCAGTGGTGTGGCCTACCTGCACGGAATGGGTTTGGCCCATCGGGATCTGAAGTTGGACAATGTGGTTGTTAATGAGCACGGCATCATGAAACTTATCGACTTTGGCAGTGCGGTTGTGTTCCGTTATCCATTTGAAAACGACATTGTTCCCGCTTCAGGTAAGGACGATCTTGATCTGCTTATTAGTGAACCTAGGCTCACTTTGCTTCACAGGGATTGTGGGTTCAGACCCGTATCTGGCCCCCGAGGTCTACGACGAGAAAAAGTATGATCCGCGGCCCACGGACATCTGGTCATTAGCGATCATTTTCTGCTGTATGACTTTACGACGTTTTCCCTGGAAGCAGCCACGGGTCAATGATAACTCGTACCGGTTGTTCGTTTCGCCTCCGACGCCAGGAACGCCCGTACCTGATGCCGAACCGAGACGCCATCGTCCAACCAGGTCTAACACTGATGTTCCCTCTTCTACTCATGACGAGCACAAGCAATCGCAGACGAATAAAAACGTGTCATCGGGCAAGTCAGATAGTGCTCAACGCTCGGATCAACGCCAATCTAAATCTGAACAAAATGAAAACCAACCCCCCGAGAGTCCCCAAGACAGGACTCCTAGTAACGGCACCAGTAACGGTAACAACAAGCCTACGCGCACCACGAGCAAAGAGGCGCCCCCGCTTCCACCCAACTCCCAGTCGAATGTCCAACGCCAGGAGGTCATCAAGGGCCCCTGGAGGCTATTGCGCATTCTTCCCCGTGAAAGCCGGTATATCATTGGCCGAATGCTCAAGGTTGCCGTGAGCCAACGCGCCACTTTGGATGAAGTCCTAAGCGATGACTGGGTCCGCAATATCCAGGTTTGTGAGCAAGACGAGACGACAGGCCAGACTGTCAAAGCTTCGAACCATACTCATGTCTTGGAACCGCCCTCCAATGCCCCCCCCGTTGCAAGCAAAGCCAGCAAGGCTGCGAAGGGCAAGTAATATATCTCATCGTCACCAGATCCAAATCCTGTGTCTCCATATTGTGCGAGTCCATATTCGAAGAGAAAAAAAAAATACCCAGTTTCCCTCGCTTTGTGTTTTTGCTACCTTTTGCCATCCTTTGGCTCGTTGTTTAACCTTTTTTAATCGTCTCTTGCTTGTTTTCGACCCAGCGTGGATCGATTGATCTACTTATTTTGGCTTATTGGGCGGTGTTCTGCGCTTCTGTTTCCTCCTTTTTAATCTGCTTCTGTACAGTCTGATACACTACTGGGGTCCACATCTGTCTTTATATCTGACCTCCCATTGTTTTGCTTGCCTTTTAATCATGTTCCGCAACTGGCAAGACTGGTTGCGAGAGTTCGCTCAACCCTCTTCTTCCCCTTCTGGCGTTATGGTTATTGTCTGGATAGAGGCTGGGCTGTTAGATTTTCGCTTGTCTCCTTTTTTCTCGTTTCCGGTCCATTTCCCCCATTCCATTTCCCCCGGGCTTCTGTCGTGTGTATAGGATTCGCCTGGGGCGTGGGCTCGTTCTTTTTTCATTGTCCATTCTTTCGTGCTCCTACTTGCATACGGAAGGACACAGGGGCTGGTAGATATTATAAATAAATTGGAATTACATATAATGCTATGCTTGAAGCTTGCTCTGTAAGAGTACGCTGTGTGTGAATTGACGTAAGGCCAATGCGGAGATTGCGGAGTTTAGACAAACCGATTATCGGAGGCTGTCAAAAGAAATTAATCATTGATCAACTTGACCGCGGCCGAAAGTTGACAAGAACTCCATTGCGGCACGCACGGGTTCATATATCGCTCAATTGGTAAAGAGAGCCTGGTTTTTTGTCATTTCAAGCTTTGCTACACAAGATCACGATTCACGATCTACTGTTTCTAACTGGGGAAGCTTGAGTTCAACCGATCATTGACTCGATAGGCATCCCACCATGGCTCAGCAGCACGAAACAGAGCCATTGGTCTCTCTTTGGACCAGATCTTTGCTTGTACGCTGTTACTATCCGTTTATATACCTCCATATAAAATTAGCGAGCTGATATTTTGCACTCTAGTCTGGTGCTGTCGCCGGCCTCACGGTCGACTGCTCCCTCTACCCCCTCGACACGATCAAGACCCGTCTCCAAAAAGCCCGAAGCCATGCCCCCAGCACAAACGCACCAGCATCTCAAGTCTCCCTCCGCCAGACCGTCCGCGGCATTTATGCCGGCCTCCCCTCCGTCCTCTTTGGTTCTGCGCCATCAGCTGCCTCATTCTTCATTGTCTACGACGGCGTGAAACGCTCGCTGTTACCTCCTCCCAATAGCTCTGAGAAAGCTTCGCGGACACATATTACACTTACACACTCTGTTGCTTCGTCGATGGGTGAGATTGCTGCTTGTGCGGTGCGGGTTCCCACGGAGGTTATCAAGCAGCGCGCACAGGCGGGGTTATTCGGCGGGTCGAGTTTGCTTGCGCTGAAGGATATTTTGGCGCTGAGAAATGCGCATGGGTACGGGCAGGTGGTGAGGGAGTTGTACCGCGGTGCGGGGATTACTATTGCGCGGGAGATTCCATTTACTGTCCTGCAGTTTACGCTGTGGGAGGGGATGAAGGAGAGGTATGCTAAGCGGATGGCTGCGTCTGGGGCTGTTCCTACTGGGACCGAGGGTCAAGTGCCCGCGTCCACGAGTGCAATGTTCGGTAGTGTTGCTGGAGCTATTGCGGCAGGATTGACGACGCCGTTGGATGTGATTAAGACGCGGGTTATGCTTGCAAGGAGGGGTGATGGTGCTGTTGGTGAGCGTGCGAAGGTGAGGATCAGGGACGTTGTGCAGGAGATTTCGAAGGAAGGGGTTGGGGCTTTCTGGAGAGGCATTGGGCCTCGTGTGGCGTGGATTGGGATTGGAGGGGCTATATTCTTGGGTAGTTATCAGTTTACATGGAATACGTTGGAGGGGAAGGATCGGGGGAAGAGCGAATAAACATGTACATTATTCTATATTCTCTATACAATATGTTTATGGTTTGTACACTAGTTTGTTTTTCGGAGCATCCAGTTCAATTCCTGTACTTGATCTGGGGTGAGGAGCTCATCCATCTTTTCGGAGCGGAGGAAGTCATGGTCTGCAAATTCGAATCCGGGGACGACAGTCTACCAACGTTAGCAAAACAACCACATTCATGGATAGAAAGGAAACCAACCTCACTAATCAACAACCCATCTGAACTCCCACCATCATCCGGCAACAAAAACGTCCCTTTATATTTCCCCCCCTCAACAATCCACTGCAACCTCTCCCCTTTCTCAATACCCTGCCCAACCGCAAATGTCTCAACACTCGCCTTCCCCCCATTCCTCCTCACACTCTCCTCATCTGCATGCAAGATGACATACACCCCTCTCCCGCGGTGAAGCGTGTGCACCGTGCGACTGGCGTTCCGATGGAAAGCGCCCAGCGGGGAGCGCGGGGTGAGGAGGTAATAGATGGAGGTGCTAGCGGAGCGAGTAGTGTCATTTTGCGATGTGGGTGGGTGAGGGTTTGGGACGCGCAGTGTGTCGCGGTCGGTTTCGACGAAGTAGCCGCCTTCGACGTGCGGTTGGAGATTTAGAGTCGTTATGGTTGATTGGATGGTCGGGGATTCGGATGATGGGTCCGGGGTGTTTGGGGGGTAAATTGGTTTTATCTGGGCGAGGGGAATGGCCATGGTTGTTGTTTGCTTATTCTAGTATTTAATTTCCGTTGAGTTGAACTGAATTGGGGAGTGTGTGTGTGTGTATCTATTTAACGTCGGGGGCGGGTTTCTTTTCCCCAGAAAAGACCCTGGTCCCGGTTCGGGACATACGACGGGCAGATCGGAACTGCCTGGCATCTAGCTAAGCTACCTTCAATCATCTAAATACAGGCAGCCCCCCGCGCGGGAAGCTGCTTGAGTGTTCAAGACCGTCTGGGTCGGCAATAAAGTTGGAGGGTATAGGGGATCTATCCGGCATTTACCTGTTGTTTCGCAGGGAAAAATAACCCCGCCCAGGATCGGGGGAAAAACCTGCGAGAGATAGATACTTGGTATAGACAAGATTTGTGGTTCAAGGACCAGGCGGGATTCGAACCCACAGACTGCTTAGTGATGTCTGCACCAGCAGTCTAGCCAGACTTAGTGTCTATACCACTAAGCCACTGGCCAGCTGAATTGGGGAGTGACAAAGTTAGGTTCTATAGACTGTCTATGGGTCACGTGCGATGGTTTGATATGACATCAGCGCAGAGGCCGACGCTGTGTTCTTTACTCCATTGTTAATCAGGGCCAGGGTAAGCCAGGGGTATTCTTAACGAGCACTATCAGACACACTACGGGGAGTCTGTACATATGTTGATGGTAGGAGGCAGTGACATAGAAGTGTATTCCGTAGTGAGCCGTCATACTTGCCGATCTCATGCAGCTGCAACATTGCTTCTCTCGACTACTATGAACTATTACACGTGCTCAGTGTCCCTTCTATATTATAAGTAATCTACGTATAATCCATTTCCATATTCGTTTTCTTGCATATCTGTGCATCAAATCCCCGGTTCGCTCGTGGCTTAAAATAATCCCCGACGGGCTTATCTCCGCTTTGTTTCTGCCTTGGTCATCTCTCCAACAACCACCTGCGCTCTCCTCTCTCATTCCATTCTCTGAGTCTTACCTGCTGCTTTCACCCTATCATATAGTGCCCTTTATACGATTGCGCTTGCCAGTATCGTATGGCATCTGACTCTCGCTGCGCCTGATCGCGGATCACCTCCGCTCTCATTTCCTCCGCAATCCGTCCCCGTCCGCTTCCTCTACCACGCCGTTGAATTTCGCGCGCAATCCTCTGTATGGCCCCCAGACCTAGTCACCAGAGGGTCGCATACGGTGAGTTTGCTTATTACGAGAATGGTTCAATGGAAAGAGCAAGCTAACGTCTCGCGGCAGTGCTCCCTCTTCCAGATGCTCCCGGCGGCCATCGGCTGGGCGTGAACGGCTTAACCGTCGACGCCGACCATTCCATTCTGTGAGCCATCAGCGCACAATCCCTATTGATTATCGTCTAACAAGCCAGTTATTCCGCCGGTCGCGATGGTGTTGTCTGTTCCTGGGACCTCAATCGCCCTTTATCCTCCAAAACGCCTCCTTCGTTCCTAGGCTCCAAGCAACCGGGCCAAACAACGTTTCGGAGCCAGATACAAGCACATAGCCATTGGATCAACGACATTGTCTTAACCCAGAACAATTCCGCCCTTGTTTCTGCGTCCTCGGATACGACCGTGCGATTATGGCGACCTCATTCGGAGTCGACGGATGTGCCCGCGCGCATTGGGAAACATGCCGACTATGTGAAAACTCTTGCGACGCCGGGGAACCATGCCAATTGGGTTGCGTCGGGTGGGTTGGATCATAAGCTACACCTGTGGGATTTGAATGGCGGCGGCGAGGTATTGAATATTGATGCGTCCGGGGACGATCGCACGGCCAAGGGCTCTGTTTATGCGTTGGGGGCTGTGTCGTCTGTCCTGGCTAGTGGTGGACCCGAAAGCGTGGTTAGGGTATGGGACCCAAAGTCTGGGAAATTGATTACCAAGTTTGTAGGACATACGGATAATATTCGCGATATTCTCGTCAATCGCGATGGCGATACGATCATGACAGCGTCGTCCGATCAGACTATCAAGATTTGGTCCCTTACCGCTGGAAGATGCATGCACACGTTGACGATGCATAACGACAGCGTCTGGTCTCTCTACTCAAACCATCCGCAATTATCCGTCTTTTACTCTAGCGATCGCTCCGGCCTTGTCGCAAAGACCGATACCAGGAACTCTGCAGATATCGAACAGGGAATTTGTGTCGCAGCACTGCAGGAGAACGAAGGGGTGGTTAAGGTAGCGGCTGCAGGGGATTATCTCTGGACAGCTACTCCCAAATCTAGCATTAACCGCTGGCTTGACATCGACACGACCGCTGAGATCGAGCCGCCATCGTCCGATGACCGTGAAAGTACCGCGAGTCCGCCCCCTGCCAACGCGGCGCAAGCAAAGCGAAAGAAGATCCCTTACAATTCCGTTCTACTCCTATCAAGCACCTCGACTTTCCCTGAAGCGAACGTGCCGCCAGGGAGACCTTCCATTGAGTCGGTGGTAGAGGACGAACTTGAACTTACGTTGCCTATCCAGACATTGCCAGACGAGACAATCGAAGGCCAAAACGGGTTAATCAAGCATCTCATGTTGAATGACAGGAAACGCACATTAACCCAGGATAGTGCGGGAGAAGTTGTACTATGGGATTTGCTGAAGGTACGTTACTTGAGTGTCAGACTTTATATTGTCATTAACCAGCGAGTAGTGTGCCCCGATTCAATCGTTTGGCAAGCGTCATATGGACGATGTTGAAGCCGAAATCAACACTACGGAGAGTATCGCACACTGGTGCACGATTGACATTCGGACGGGTAGACTATCTGTTATTTTGGAACTCAACCGCTGTTTTGATGCAGAGGCATACGCAGATGAGATTGATCTGCCTGATCGGTCAGAGCTCCGAGATGACCAAAGAAGTGCGTATCCTGCTCCCCTGGGCCCTCTTTGTTCTGTGCTAACCTATGTAGTCAACCTTGGAAAGTGGATATTGCGCTGGCTCTTCGCCCCGTTGGTGGACGCAGAAATTAATCGAGACCAAGACTATCGCACAGAAATAGTCATGAAGGGCGAGGAAGTGGCACGGCAAAACTCAGCGAACCTATCACCTTTGGATATCCCGACAGGAGATGTACCGAGGAGCTTGAACATTCCGATTCCTCACAACAGTGCCTCTCCTACGACTCCACGGGCGGGTAGTGATATGTTTGGAAGTCCGACGACTCCCGGGTTTGGTATCGGGTTCGCCAATACCCCAGGGACTCTGTCATCATCTATGGGTGGTGGCAGCAATAGCAACAACCTGGGCACATCACCCGGTCCTAGTTTGGGAGAATTTGCTGACAGTTTGGCATCGCCTACACCCCAGCAAACACTAGATGCTACCCGAAGCTCTATGTCAGACCGGTCCAGCGACTATTTCACATCGAAAATGCAAACCGCAGAGACGGAGAAAGGCAGCCAGGGCGATCAAACACCAACAGCTCTTCCGCTTTCACCCATCGAGCCAGACAAGGAAGATAAGAAGAAGGGAAGCTCCCTGTTCAGTAAGAAATTCCGCATGGGAAAGCTCGGCCGGACACCGTCAGAAGTCAAGCCGCAGCAACAGATTCAGGAAGAGAAGGAGAAGCCGGAGGAATCTGATCGTTCGTCTGTCAAGGAGGAAAAGGTGTTTGAGAACAATTTGAGTGGGTTTATCGAGCGGATTCGACATGGATATGATGAATATCTCGCTGCGAACCCTGGGCAGGATTTGACCTCAGCTATCACGCCTATCCCTAATAACGAGACCCCTGTGTTGAATATTCCATCGAATACAGCTGTTTTCATACAGGAGGAGTCTGGGGATACAGCAGTTGCTTCTGATCTGTACAGAGGGAGCGTTGGTCGTCTAAGTGAGGAAATTGACCAGTTGGAGAAGTCGATTCCTCTATGGCTCGCAGAGCTTCTCTTGAAGGCAAGCAGCATTTTGCAATACTTCTTCTTACTTTCTTCTAACAGTAACTAGGATCAAATGCCACAGAAAGATCCTGTCAAGGTGGCGTTTACTTTGCGACCAGTTGATGATCTTCTGCTACCAGTAGTTAAGCCAGACGGGTAAGTTCCTATACTTGATATATTCTTGAGCCACAACTGACCATACAGACCCCCTCTTAATGGCCCTAGCAACCATAACAACTCTCGTTTGAATGCGAACAGGATGCTACGTGCCAAGAAGGTACTCGCCTACGTCGCCGAACGAATCGACCCAACCTTCACTGAAGAGCCAGTGGAGGATGCGCTGAAGCCAGAGGAGTACCTGGAACTATATTGTCAGAACGTGGTATGTCTTCGTTCCCATGATCCCAGTCAAGTCGCAGTAAACTAACTTGACTAGTTAATCCCCCCAAACATGACATTAGCAACAATCCGTAACCACATCTGGCGCACTTCAGGCGACATGATCCTCTACTACAAATCCAATGGAAAGAAAGACCTCCCAATGCCTGGATTAAGTGGCGACGAGGATAAAAGCCAAGGAGGTTCTTATCTACGGGCAGAAGCAGCTAACGGGGGAGAGAATGGCAGCGCGCCAACAGGCAGTATTCATTCTCTGACGGCATCGGGGTCTGGATCGACGTCTATTATCAACTTTTAGTGCGTGTATTTGTATTTTGTCTTTGTTGGGGTTGGGCCTGGAACTGGGACAAAGGGTTGTCTTGAGGTTGTTGGAGGTTTAATTTCTTTCTCTCTTTCGATGTTAATATTAGGCCCCATTTTTGTATGATAGCATTGGCCATTATATACTCTGCATTTTATTCTTTTTTTGACTTGCAAAGGAGCATCAACACGTATGATATTGTTTGTCTAGGTTCACTCATTCGATAACGCCAAGACTTGAATATAAATTCCCGACATCAACACCACGAACATCTTATCTACTTTACATACTCTAACCAACCCTCCCATTCTTAAACCCTCTCGATTAAATGACCATAGATGAAAGCATCATGTCTCCTCGGCAACTCCGCAACAATAACCACCCCCCAATTCCTGGATCACTTCCGCCGAGCATGGACTGAGTCGCAACGCCTTCCCGGCCTCCGCAGATCCCTCATTCCACGACGACTAGGTACTCCCTTTTCACCCTATCTTTATTCCTATAAAAAGCACATAGGCTAATAGAATCCAGGATTGGCGGTAAGCGGTGGCGCAGACTCCATGGCCCTGGCATATCTATGCAAGCAATTAGAGAAAAGCGGGCTCGTGGAAGATCTATCCGTCACGGCATTTGTGGTCGATCATAAAGCCCGAGAGGAGAGCTCGCGGGAGGCGAGGATGGTTAAGGGGTGGCTTGATGAGCTTGGTACTTCTCCTCTCACTCTCATCTCTTAAACATCTCGAAGTGTATGTAGCTAACTCGGACAGAAATAACCACCAGAATCCTGGAGCTAGACTGGTCCAGCGCCATCACCAGTGAAGGGAAAGAAAAGCCCTCTGCGTTCGAGACATTCGCCCGCAGACTCCGCTTCCAAGCCCTCGGGACGGCATGTCGCGATAACAACATCGAAACACTAATGATGGGCCATCATCAAGACGATAACGTCGAGACGACGCTGTGGCGGCTATGCACGGGGGCCAGAGGTGCAGGTCTTATGGGGATTCCGCGCGTTGCCAGAATCCCGGAGTGTCATGGCATTTATGGGGTTGCGGAGAGTGGGAAGGCGGTTGAGTTGCCTGGGACGAGGAGGGGGGTGGTTGCGAGTGGGGGGCTGACGATCTGTCGGCCGTTGCTTTCGTTTCCGAAGGTGAGGCTGTTGGATACATGCCACAAACATGATATTCCCTACGTCAATGATCAAACGAACTTCGACCCGACTCTTACGCCCAGAAATGCAATCCGGAGTCTTGTCTCCGAGAATCGCTTACCACGCGCCCTTGCACCGCCATCTATCCTCTCCTTGATCCAAGCAAGCCAAGATCTTCTCAGAGACACAATCACCCTCTCAAATGAAATCCTCCGACACTGCAACCTCATCGATCTCAACCTCACCTCAGGAACCATGATCATCCAATTCCCACCTCTAAAATCTGCCCAACCAACCGGTACAATCCCAACAAGACGAACTACAAAGAACCAAGACCAGCGGAACCGCCAGATTCAAGCTGTCACTCTACGCAGGATAACGGAGTTGGTATCACCTTTCCCGGAGAGTCATTTTCCGTTGAGGGGTTTTGGGGGTTTTACGGAGCGGGTTTTCCAGCCATTAGGCACTGATAGACCAGAACGGCAGGCTTTCACGCTGGGAGGGGTCATGTTTCAACCTTCTCAGAGAGAATTGGCAGATCATGAAAGTGCCAGGGATATATGGTTCATATCCCGACAACCGTTCATGCGCCATCGTCTCCCAATCCTCGATTTTACTATCCCAGCTCCTCCCGTCACCAAGCAGCAAAAACAGCATATACACCGCTCTGATAGATATGAATATACACCCTGGAAGCTTTGGGATAACCGCTACTGGTTCCGACTTGCCATAACACCAAACGTGCCCTCATCCTCACCTTCGACAACTACCAGAACAAACAACGAGAATAACGATGTCTTCCTGGCTGAAAATACCCTACTAGTCACGGTTAGACCGCTGCAACAAGCAGACATACACCATCTACGAGAATATCTATCTTCCTCCCCTTCCCCTTCGTCATCCTCGTCACAATCCACGACATCATCACAACATCAACAACCGAAACAAACCCAGAACAAAAAACGAAAGAAAGTCAACCCCCTCTGGACACAACTAAACGACACCCTTTCTCAAGAATTACCAGGTCAATCTCGATTCACCATCCCCGTTTTGTTTATTAAGCATGGTGGAGAAGAGAGAGTACTCGCATTACCAACATTAGACATCCACTTCCCATTATCGATGTCTATATCCAATTCCGTTCCAGGAGAAAGAATACCATGTGAAATACGCTGCGAATGGATGTACAAAATGATCGACGGAGAAACTGTCAAGTCAATGTCTGGCTGAATGAATTGATTGGTTTAATCTTAGATATGAAAGTAATGAGCGCTAAAATATAAAAATCCTCTCCTATTCTACAAGACAGACGAAAAGGAATGCAATAGAAAGGTAAAGTAAGGAAATGAAAGGTACAAGGATAGACAAGGCTAGAAGATAACTTGACTTGGTCCCAACTGCAAACATGCAAAAGAACAAAAAATTCTGCCAATAGACTCCAGAGAGTGCAAGAGTGCAAGAGTGCATGCATAATATGCATATGTTTGCCAAACGAGAGATGCAAATAACAAGAAAGAAAGGAAATAGAAACGAGTAAAAGCCAAACAGGTAAAAAGAGACAGAATCGGAATCAAAAATATGTCGTTCCCAAGAAAGTCGGCCATATAGACTCTCTACTCATATCCACAGCTGCATCGATACCATTAGGAAAGAAAAAGGAAAGGCCATCAATAAACATGATCTCGTGTCTATTTCACGATCGTCGGACGGAATCAAACATGGACCTGCGTGGCCAGCACCAGGCACTCGTTCAATAGCCTGGAAATCAAAATCGACATCGACATTGGCGTGATTTCGTTCAATCACTCGCCTTCAATAACGTAACGGCAGCTTGCTGAGCACGCAAACCACCAACCTCCCTCTTAAGTCGGAAATTTTCCTTCTTCAGCCGTCCAATCTCATCAAGAGCACCATTCAACTGGGTCTTGAGAGCTTCCTCCGTACTCCCCGATCGTACATCTTTCGCGAGCTTGCTCAATTCCGAATTAAACCGGTCATAGAGCGCTTCGTTCTCCGCGCTAGCCTCCCGATACAGCTCGTCAAGTTTCTTGGCTCGTTTCTCGCTGACAACTAAAGACGACTCTAGATCCCGTTCCATGGAAGATGTTCGTCCGTTAAGGTCTCCAGACAATGTGTCAAAGCGTGACTCCAAAGTTTCTATCCGGGACGCGAGTGCCGCATTTGAAGAGTGTTCATCGGCATCCAGATCTTCATTCACGGCATGAATTTGCTGCGTTGGTCGAAGTTTCAACCCTTGTAGCTCATTGCTGATCAGATCCAGTTCGTCCTTTAACCCTGAGTGTGCAGAGGCCTGGGCTCTCTTTTCGCTCTGAAGACGATCCCGTAGCTTTTGCGGGCTCTGCATCCGCAGCTTCTGTGTCTTCTGTGAAGTCCCGCCGCGTTTCAGATCAGGATTGTTTGCCAGCGCTGGACGCTCCCGTAGTCCACCACGCGACGGTATACTCAATGCCCGAGATCTTTTTTTGTACTCTTCCGGCGAACCAGTGCTGGCATTCTCGCCCTTCTTCCTTGGTGAACGCTCCGCTTGTGACCTAGGATCAATGTTCTCTTTGCGGCTAGGTGTAGCAGGACGTGTGGGTGATCTGGAAGGTGAGCCAAATTTAACTGGCGACAGACTGCGACCCGACCCTGAGCTCTGTGGTCTGGTTTTTGTTGGGGTCATTGCGTTAGACCCCGACCCAGGAGTTACAGGTCTTGATGGTGAGGAGTCAGACGTGTTTGTTGTCGAGGCAGTATTGGGTCGTAGGTCAGAAAGAGAACTCCGCCGCTTTCGACGGACCTTGACAGGCTCATTTGTCGATATACCTCTAATCGAAGAAGATATGGATCCAGTGTGCTCGTGTCCACTACCTGGACGGGCGATTTGTTCCTGAGAAGACGCTGCAACGTAATCACGGGAGCCAGGGCGTAACAGTAAGCCCAGACTGTTATCCAGGTCTATCGACTTCGAGCGTGACAAAGAGCCCCTGGGAGTGTTGGATTCCGAGTCTCCTGATCCCTTGCCCTTACTCAAGGTTCGCAAAATGGATGACATCTTACTCTCTCCTTCATGCTTCGATCCCTCGCGGTGTAAGCCGAAACCGAATCGCTTCCGAAAGGAAGACGCATTAGAGTTTACAGAGCCCGTGTTGTGCGATGCGGACTTGGTTTGATCGCAGACTAGGGTCCCTTCCAAAGAGGCACCACCTGGGATATATTCGTCGAAGAGATTGTCAAAGTCATCTACCAGTCGATCCAAAAGAGAGATGTGTTGCATCGGATCACCCTCGACGGTGAGGATCTCTGCAAAGGCGGCCGTGAGAGCACCGCGATCACCGTCATTACCCGAAGCGTCCAGCAACTCTGCAAGCAACCGTACCATAGCAGCAAACGCACGACGATTCTGAGGGCTCATCTCGGCCAAGAACTTCCGGAAGTTTTCGTCAAAGTCACGAGGAAACATGGTGTCAAACTGGCTCTGAATTAACTTCAAAGACGATGGGTCAAGGATTGGTCCCATGTGTTCCTGCCATGCATTGGCCATAAACGTCTCAAAGGCAACAAATAGTGTGTCAACAGGAACTTCAGCCGCAGCCTGAATCTTTCCAGGATCTTCCAACAACACATTGTACAACTCATTGACCGAGGAACGATCCACGCTGTCTCTACCGCGTAGGGTCCGCCCGACGATATTCCCACTCCGCGACTGCAGTGCTAGAGCATAGGCAGCAAATGTTTGCTCCAACAAGCCGAACTGACTTTCCGATCCCTTGGAACCTGTTGTCTCGATCACGGAAATTCTATTCGGATTTTCCTCTTTCCCAGGGATACTAGAAGGCAAGGTGTTTGCCCGGGAGAGATTAATTCTCGGAGGCGGCATCTTTGGGAAATCGCCCAGTATTGGTGCAGAGTTAGGTGTCTTGGAATTTGACGCGCTGTCCTTCGGTTGATTTCCACCCAAGATGCTAGAAAGCAGTTTGGATGGTGATGGTGGTCGGAAACCGCGTGGCGCTTTGGCTTGAGTTATGAGATTGCCGGCAATGTATCGGAGAATCTCAAAGTTTGAGTGTACAATGGGCACAGTCAAAGTTGGATTCCGAGGTCCATGTAGCGGAAGTAGCACATTCAAGAGACGTTTGGAAAGTACCGGTATGAAGCTATCTGCTGTGACCAGATCAGAGGAAGGGATACCCACAGTCGAGTCAATGTCAACCCGATACTGATCTTCCTCCCCGGCCGTGACCAACACAACCACCTCCACATCCGAACCGGCCAATATTCGACTGCTTTCTGCTTTGGGAGTATTGAAGAGCACCCGAATCTTCGCGGGACCTGTCCGATTCATCGTCCCATCTGTATCCTCCTCAAAGACGCAAGCTAAGATCCCAATATTACCCACTGTTCCACTTGTAGGACTTCGGAGTGTCCACTTTGCATTCTCTCGCTCAGATTCGGAGAAGCGGCCCTCAATCTTGGCTTTGGCGAACTCTTCAATCAGTCGATTGGCCCGCGCTTCATACATACCAGACAACTCTAATGCGAGAAGATCCGTAGCATTGTCATTTGCGACTCCAGATTTGGCGGAGGCCGGTGCGAGAAACAAGATGCGCCCACATGTTGATTGCATACAACGAACGCTGTGGATGTCGAAAACCCGTGCAACCCTAACCTCGGTGGTGCTGAATGTTCCCGGAGCATCTGTTGTTGTTGCTGCGGCGTGGTCAAGATCAGCCAACAGTCCACGAGCAGTCATCCGGCTGTCTGCAGATTTGGATAAGAGGACCAAGCAATTCTTATACAGCAGCATGATTCCTGTGCTCGGACTTGGCGTTTGTGTGTCCATATGATATGGTGGCGACAGCTCATCAAAGTCGACCACAGTGATCAAGCGACCACTGGGCACAATGGAGGCATGCCAGCCATCGACAAGTTCTTTCAGTCGTTGGAAGCTCTGCGAATGGTCCGTCAATGACGGGTTGTCCAGCGAACAGATGTCCTTGATAATATCTCGCGCCTTCAGGAGCGGTCGAACAGCGGGATGAATCAATGGCAGACTGCCCATCATGGTGTCGATCAGGAGACTGTAGCGGGGCAGACGTTGGACAGGTTCCATGAGGAGGGATCGTAGCTGTTGCTCGCCCGTTTCGTAAACACGCTTCGAGAAGCTGGAGTTCTTGTCTTTCATGAACGAGTTCAGAGTTTGAGTGAAGCCATTGTGAGCGCGCATGTAATCCGCATAGGGTTCCGAGAACCGTGGGAACCATTCGATCAAAGCGTTTGCAAAAGTTGCGGCACCGATGGCATCCTTGCTTTCTCGTGACGAAGCTCGATGTGACATTTCCGTGTCCTCCGCAATATCAGCAATGGCGTCCTTTTCCGTCTCCTCGAGTACCTGACGGATAACCTCCAAGAAGCCCATATTAATGTCGAGTATCTCGTTCAAACACGGTGGAAACAGAGCTTTGAGAGCAGACTCATCGGGGCTTGTACTGGTAGCCGATCGTGTCTGCGCTTTGACCCGGAATTCCTCCGCCACAATTCGCACTAGATGATACATCTTGGCAACATATCGCTCCTCCGTATCGACCAGCTCACACATGGTGAGCCGGAGGGCCTCCTTCTGACCTCTCGAGAATAGGCGGGACCGGCTGACATTGGTGGGTTGGGAAGGAGCACGTTTCAGTCGGGAGGTAGGTAAGAAAATCGGCTCTCCCAATGCGCGGACGAGGGAAGAGTAGCGGCCATATTGGTGATCGGGGGTATCTTCGAGATCTTGGGACGTATCGTTATCGTCGGGTCGCGGAGGCGGTTGTATGGTTCCGGCGGGGAGGATCACATCGAGATCGATCCATGGGAGCTTGCGTTCCTGAAACGCACCGCGGATGTCGCGAATCGTATCCGATAGAGCCGTATTATTATTATTATGATTATTATGACTGTTCGTAACCATATTCTCCACTGGAACCATGCGATTTGCCAGGTCCGCGGCATGCATCTCATCAAACATCTTGGGGATCTTCCCACCGGGCTTCCCCGCGCGGGCGAGATCGTAGAGGCATTCCTTGGTTGACTCGGACAGATCCGCAAAGTACTTCAACATGCTGACGGCCAGACCGCGACACACTTCATCGCCTTGTTTTTCTCGTGGGAGGTGGTTGACGGCCGCATATAAGGGAGCAGCTGGGGAGACGGTGATTCGGGGATAGCTATGGAATCCGGCGGGGGTAAAGACATGCGCCTGAATGCGCGAGCTGCTAACGGTAGCATTGGCGGTTGCGACAGGACCGTAGAAGACAAAGACAGAAGCGAGAGAGGGATCGGAGGTCTGATAGAGGGTCAACTGCTCAAGAGGCAGGTCCGAGAGAGAGGTGGACACGGTCGCCATGGTGGATGATAAGGCAGGAACGACTCGACAAAATAAAATAAAATAAAATGAGAGAGAAAGGCAAGCAGAAGCTGCAAATAGCGAATAGTAGTGATAGAATAATAAATTATTAAGAAAGAAAGAATGACAGTCGAATTAACCAGGTCGAAATCCAACAACGTCAGACAAATCAACAAGAGCCCAAAGATTCAACGAAAAGCGGAGAGAGAGAACGGCATCGATGAGCCTGAATCAAACGGAAGAAGAATAAGCAAAGGGAGGAAAAAAGAATGAACGATTGAGTGCTTCATACAGTCCAGAGAAGAACTGGATGAAAGCCCTCCATAGAGAGTGTGTGGGAGTAAAATGTGGGTGTCGTAAGAGAGCGATGAGGGAAAGACAACAGACGCGTCGTCGATCCTTCAGCTGAGGGACCAATTCGGAAGCGGGACAGGTTTATTAGGACGGAATACGAGTGATATTATTAGATATTCGAATTTTGGTAGAGAACAGAAGGATAAGAGGGAATAGAAAAGGAAGAAAAGAAGACAATTAACATTCGATACACAAGCGGTGATGATGGTTGGGCTGCTTGTCGGGGGACGAAGCGGGGAGCAGCTCTTTGTATATACAAGTGTTAGAGACTTTGTGTGTGTGGGACAAGATCGACGGCTTTGATCTGGCAAAGAAAGCCATTCAAATTGAATATTTCTCCATTTCCCCATTGAAATATCCTCTTTTTTTCCTGTTCTAATGACAGCCGTGACACGTGTTGGGCAGTAAACATCCCCTCTGTATACACAGCATTTCTCTAGTATTCGGTATTCAGAGTACGGATGTTCTAATAAACTGGCCTGCATGTAAGGACTTGAAACACATACAGGCAAATCATCTTTTATCTTTTAGACTGTCTCATTCGGAGGTTATCTCGTTAGACCTCGATTTACCCGATCCGGTACCTTGTTGTCCGATCAACCACCGTGTGCTCTAATGAGCTTTGATAAGTATGCAGGAATGACAGCCACATCAGTGTTTAAGGAACAGTGGTGCTCAATGGTTACTGCGTACTCTGATATTTGGTGGTGACTAAGGAGTATTCGTCTCTTCAATAAACAAACATTCTTAGTTCATGGCGTTTTTATGCCTGCGGCACCAAGGCAGAAATTATACGAGCTAATGAGAGCGCCCAAATTTAGCCATGGGATGATGTCCTCGTGGTAAACTCTATCCGAACAACGCAATTCTGTATTTAGATACATCAGATATGTAGAAGGAACTCCCGTTCTGACCACTTGAAGCCAAGGATCGATCAACAATTGGCTATACATGACTACCGGCCAAAACAGATTTAGGAGGCAGAATGCGTTCATTCACCATACGGTCGACCGTCACGTAATGACCCTGACCAACCGGAAGTTCCTCCGTGAAGCCGATACTCCGGATCTTGTCAAGGCTTAGCTCCCGGTTGTGATTTAGCATGGTCAATGACACTTTGGAAAAGATCCAGGCAGATTCCGAAATCTCACGTCGCTGGAGTCCATACATCTCACACATTTTCTGATAGTCTTCCTGATGCTCGTTCCACCATTGATCAATTCCTCCCCACTCATCAGTACTCGGGCATGTCCCCTTGAGCTCAAAATATCCCGCCAGCATTGGCCACTTTACAGACCATGGACCTGGGGTCGCTGTATCCGCAACATTGAATGCCTCGTTATTCGCTTCAGTAGGTTTGACAACAGAAAGGTATATTTCTGCTTTGGTCATGATGTCCTGCGACGTGTCGGTATGCGTATAGGCAAAGCTCTTGAGCGATCCGGGAAAGGGGACCGTGGCCCCAGGCCCGTGGACGAATCGGTACAACGCAAGATACAATGCTACTGGTTCGAGCAAGTTCATTCCAGTCTCAGTGGGCACAAAACCTACAAGATAGCGCTTAGTATCGCATAGCGAGATTACTATTCCAGGGACCGGGGCGTTACCAATGATTACGTCCGGCCGAACTTCACACCAACCCCATTGTTTTCCCTTTGCTGCTTCCCGGACTAGATCCACCTGGGCGTAATAGAAGATCTCGTCACCATAAGGAGTGGAGACACGTGGGTTGTTTTCTTTCAAGGGTGGGTTGATTTGAAATTTGTCAAGGTGCTCGAAGACTGCGACACCATAATGCTATCAAGTTGCATGTCAGTAGAATGCAGCCGTCAAAGGACGAAAAACCTACGTTTGAACCGGTCTGGAGGACCACAAATCTGAGATCCGAGCACAACCGGTCCGTGGCATGAACAGCATTATAAGTCATTTCTGTGTTGATTTCCTTGACGCTCGTAACATTCTCGGCAAACGACGTGGCATTAGAATATGCTGCCAGTGACACCACGGATTAGGATTTCATATTGCTGGGTCATTAAGTTTCATCTCCAACTTACCGCAATAGTACATGTGAGTGACCTCATTAATATTTGGGATTTCTCCCTTCATCCCCTCAAGGACTTCCTCCAAGGTAGTACGCAGGTTGATGCCAGAATAACGCTCGAGCCTTGGGTCCAGGGGTAGTCCACATTTCTCCAAGGATCTGGGTCGGTTTGTAAGAGCAATTATGCGACTAAAAGTGTTGGCTGAGGGATATGACAGCAAGTTCTTTGTTACTGCCCATCCAGAAATGCCACTCGCACCAAAAACGAGAGCCACGTTGTGACTGCCTTCCATTTCGATAGATTTTTATATGGCGGTAGATCTGAAGCCCGGCAGTAGACCGGCGTATTTATACTAATACTCGTGGGACTAAAACACATAAGGTTCTAAGGGGCCTATGGGCCGTTTCGCCATCTTGGCAGCCTCATTCGTTTTGAGAAGCATAAAGAAATGCATTAGTTTGGCACCCAATCATAGACACATTCTCCGTCGATGGCGAAAGTTATAATGCTCGACCCCGGTCAGCAATGGAAATATAGCAGTTCATTGGCCGGCATCCGGATGCACCAGAAAAGCCTAATGCTGGGTTATCTGAAAAAAAATAAATACTATTAAGGTTAGGTCCGAGTTTAGATGCATGCCACCCCGGTCGATCAACTAGTGGCTGGGGAAGTCGAAAGCATTTTAGGAAGATTGGATCCTAATTCTAGGATTCCTTCCTGGAATAGACGCATGAGACACACTTGCCATTCTTACGGTCAGCTGTTTGGAGTTAATTATTGCCAATAATTTTGCGGGGAAGACCAGCAGCTCTAGCACTATTTGAATGCTGCATCTTGTCACAAGACAAAGAAACAATCCATCATCTGCTATGAGACTCTCAACTCCACGGCGCTATTCCACTCTATTGGACATGAAAGCACAAAGTAGATTGCTTGTGAGGTTAAATATCTGCGGAGTATCCGGGCCACGATTAAGAGGGTGAATACCTGGGCTTGTCCAAAGTATATATTTCGTCTTTTAACTACTCTGCACCAGTCTCATACCCTGGATCCTTGTGTTAGGGGGCAAAATTGCACTGCAACTTTAAAGAAAGGGGCGGAAGAAGCAGCGCTGAGGATTGAGGGAGCAAATCTCGTAATGCGGTCAAACAGAGTATCTCATTGCTCCCTTCTCTCACGATAAGCTTTCGCCGAGCAAGTGATATGACTGGGATGGTCAAACCAGGCAGAAAAGCTCTCCCTTGCTTTTACGCATTTCCATTGACCATCAAGAGACAAGCCCAGGCTCTGCAGATCCAGGTATGGCCTTCGCGAAAAGGTGATGTGATGTGATGTGACAGTCAATCTTTCTGGCAGAGATCCCCCTCTCTGGCTCAGTAATCAAGCTTATTCCCTGTATGTTGTCCCAGCATGAGGGAGTAACGGACAAACGGACGGCCAATACATGATCCATGATTTGCTTTCATGAGCTTAGTGCTGAACCTCTCCGCAAGAAAGGTTCCAATCTGATCCCGTCCAGATGACTGATAGCAAATTGTCAGACATTTAATAGAAGCACCTGGCGAAACAATCGACTTCAGATGCTACAATGCGCGCCCATCTGCATGACCCTTTGAGGCACATCTTGAACAATGATGAACTAGCACCAGAGCAAAAGAATGAGTTTCTAAAACGAGTATGCGGATCGCACGTGGGGTAGTTAGCCGATATCATCCGTGTCTTAGTGACTCCACTCTGCTCTCCATCATCTGGACCGTTCGACTAGAAAAACTATGAGCGCTGTATCATCAAATTTCATAATAATAGACGGAATGTTGTATGTTGAAGACACAATAACCCCATACTAGAGATATCCAAGGCGGTGGAGAGATCCCCGCTAGTCCGTATCGGGAAACCACTCAAAGACCAGCTGTTCCCCGAAAGAGCCTCACTTCGCTCATTCTCTCGAGTCGTGGACGTCTCTTCCACACATTCTTTTAATTCTCATAATCTACACTCCTTATTTGTGCCACCGCCATGGCAGCACATCCCCTCCCCATTGCGGTCGATCCAGTGGCCCTCGTGACAACAGAATGTATCACTGTCACTTCTGCTATGCGCAAACATGCCCGCTGGGCTCACTCCTCCGTCTCCGCTATCCTAGGCGGGTCGTCCGCCGTCTCCAGAGTCTACGACCGTGATACCCAACAAAACACCTCCTCCCCTCCGAGTCCTCGAAGCGGTGCGCCATCGACCCCAAGGTTGAGGGCGGCGCTGGACGAAGACCATGCCTTAGCCAATCGATGGGGTCTGCGGGGGAAGAAAGGAAAGAGCATGCAGGACAATCCCTTAATATCAGCCTTTACTCGTCTGCGCAGTGACCTTAAAGGATGTAGAGATATTCGCACCTTCGATACCCCGGCGTTGCTGCATCCGTTCTTGCAGGTCATCCGTTCCTCCTCGACCTCGGCCCCCATTACCTCGCTTGCGTTGGTCGCTATCACTAAATTCTTCTCCTACGATATCGTTAATCGAAACTCCCCACGAATTTCAATGGCTATGCAGCTTTTGTCCGCCGCCACGACCCATTGTCGATTTGAAGCTAGTGACTCCTCCGCCGACGAGATCGTGTTGTTGCGCATTCTGAACTTAATGGAGGGCATATTGTCACGGCCCGAGGGTGAGCTATTGGGGGATGAGAGTGTCTGCGAGATGATGGAAACCGGTCTGAGCATGTGCTGTCAGGTCCGTCTGTCCGAAGTCTTGCGGCGGTCAGCGGAGATGGCCATGGTCAACATGTGTCAGGTTATATTCATGCGCCTCTCTCAACTGGAAGTGCCCCCACCATCAGACCCGAATGATCCTTCACGGCAGGAATTCACGGGGGAGGGCAGTGCGCCCAATTTCAGAATGGACCCCTCTGTGAATGGAGACACGGTCACCTCGCAACATCCATCCGCTATGGGATCCGATACAGCCACCCCGGAGCGCGAACGCATCAGTGGGGATGAAGGGATCCCGGACCAGGCTGCTAATGGAAGTGCTGTCGCTGCCCCACCGAACCCACATGATAGCGAGCAAGGTGAAGCCACGCCTTATTCGTTGCCATCAATCAAGGAACTGTTTCGTGTTCTGATCGACCTCTTAGACCCTCACAACCGGCAGCATACGGATCCAATGCGGGTGATGGCATTGAGAATCATCGATGTCGCCCTCGAGGTGGCTGGTCCATCTATCGCCAAACACCCCAGTCTGGCCGCATTGGCAAAAGATGACCTTTGTCGACATCTCTTCCAGCTAGTTCGCTCAGAAAACATGGCCATTCTTACGGAGTCATTGAGAATCGCTGGCACTTTGCTGTTGACCTGTCGTCCGGTACTTAAGCTTCAGCAAGAACTGTACCTTTCGTATCTAGTGGCTTGTCTTCATCCTCGGGTCGACATTCCCAGAGAACCAGGTATTGATCCAGCACTTTATGATGGCATTCCGCAAGCCCCCAAATTAGTCAAACCTGTGCCTTCTCAGACCAGTAGTGGACGATCCACGCCAGTTCCTGTAAAGGACCGTCAGAAACTCGGACTTGAAGGAGGCTCACGCAGACCGGAGACTCGCGAAGCAATGGTGGAGAGCATTGGCGTCTTGGCTCGTATCCCAACCTTTATGCCGGAGTTGTTCGTTAACTATGATTGTGACCCGGATCGAGCGGATTTATGCGAAGACATGATCGGCCTTCTCTCACGAAATGCGTTTCCGGATTCGGCAACTTGGAGCACAACCAATGTTCCGCCTCTCTGCTTGGATGCGCTTCTTAGTTACGTGCAGTTCATTCATGATCGATTAGATGACGAGTCGGAACCTGAGGACCTCCCGTCTCTAGATAGACTACGAAGCCAGCGTCGAAGAAAGAAGATCATTGTCCAAGGCACGCAGAAATTCAACGAAGACCCCAAGGCTGGAATTGCCCACCTCACTGCACAAGGAATCATTGAGAATCCCGACGATCCCACGCAGGTTGCGGGCTTTCTGAAGGGAACAAGCAGGGTGTCGAAGAAGGTCCTTGGAGAATACATATCGAAGCGATCCAATGAGGCTCTCCTGGATGCGTTCGTTGACCTTTTTGATTTTGCGGGCAAAAATGTTGTTGAGGCTCTGCGCGACCTTCTAGGCGCTTTCCGCCTGCCCGGCGAGTCTCCTTTGATTGAACGCATCGTAACCACCTTCTCCGATAAATACATGCAGAAAGCCCAGCCCGAGGGCGTTGCCGACAAGGATTCTCTGTTCGTACTGACCTATGGTATTATCATGCTGAACACTGAGCTCTACAACCCGAACATCAAATCGCAAAATCGTATGTCTTGCGAAAGTTTCTCTCGAAACCTGCGCGGAGTAAACGCAGGGGGCGACTTTGCACCAGAATTTCTCCAGGAAATCTATAACTCCATCAAACATAACGAGATTATCTTGCCGGATGAGCACGAAAACCAGCATGCGTTTGACTATGCTTGGAAAGAGCTATTGCTCAAGTCCTCGGCGGCGGAAGACTTGGTGGTTGGCGAAACCAACCTCTACGATGCGGAAATGTTCGAGGCCACCTGGAAGCCGGTAGTCGCAACTCTTTCATATGTTTTCATGTCCGCTTCGGATGATGCAGTCTACTCCAGAGTCGTCATGGGATTTGACCAATGTGCGCAGATCGCAGCCAGATATGGTTTGACTGAGGCATTTGATCGGATCATCTTCTGCTTGGCTTCCATCAGCACGCTTTCCACGGAAAATCCTCCCAGTACGGCCTTGAACACTGAGGTACAAGCTGGAAAGAAGAGCGTTATGGTCAGCGAGCTGGCAGTCAAGCTTGGGAGGGATTTCAGAGCACAGCTGGCTGCTGTGGTTCTCTTCCGTGTTCTACGCGGCAATGAATCCGTGCCCCGAAATAGCTGGAAATATGTTGTTCGAATCCTCAGTAACCTATTCATCAATTCCCTCATTCCGCCGTTTGATAACGCTGAACTCAAAATTCCTCAAATTCCTCTGCAACCCCCCTCACAGGTCGTGGACCGTGTCAACCGTGCAAACGACACTGGCCTGTTATCAGCTTTCACGTCTTATCTCTCGAGCTACGCAGCCGACGACCCGCCAGAGCCATCAGACGAAGAACTCGACAACACGCTGTGCACAGTGGACTGCGTGACCGCGTGTGCTCTGGATGATGTTTTGACAAACATCAGGTCTCTCCCTGTGCAAGCTGTCGCGTCATTAGTGGAATCCCTGATTGGTCTCTTGCCTGAAGAGTCCACCCCGGCAGTTATTGTCGTG